CACCTCCTGCCCCAGCACCCCCTGCACCAACCACCTCCCCAAATCCCCCCCACCTTGCCTGTACCCCTCCAGGCCCAGCCCCCCCTGCACTCATGCTCCCTGAAGTCCTCCTAGCTTGCCCCACCAGCCCAATCTCCCCCCGCAGCATCCCCCCCACCACACACACTACCCAGCCCTTACTCGAGGACGTCTTGCTTGAGGTGGAAGGCAATATGGGCATACTGCTGGGAGGGGCCCGGGAGTGCCGGCGGGGGCTCGAGGGGGCGTCGGCGCAGGTCCACGGCCCCGGGGCCCTTAGGGGTCCAGATGTGCAGGTACAGGGCGGCCAGCGAGGCCGCGGCCACCAGCAGCACGCACATCGACTTCTGCACTGCCCGCATCCTGGGGGGGGGACGAGGGTCAGTGGGAAGGGGCTGCCCACAATGTCATGCATAGTCACAAGAAGCCCTCCCCCTCCCCTTTGCAATGCCCATGGCTGCTCTCCGGCATGTGTCTTTCAGCCTCAGCGCCTGGCACCCAGACACCCGGGTCCTATCCTCAGAATTGCTCCCCGCAAGCTGTGACTCACGGGGACTATCCTGCCCCCTCTACATTCTTGCTGCGCCTTCCCGGTATGAGAAAGACGTGGGCAAGGCCTCGCACTAGGGGCCTCTGTGCTGCTGCCCATGGGCCCAGCGCCGCTCCCAGCAGCAATGCCCTGCTGTGCGGTTGTGGGGTGGGGAGGGCGGGGGTCTGTATAGCCCAGCCTCATGCACATGCATCTCGATGGGCCCCTTTTGGAGGTCTCCGGTGCTGGGGCCTGCGCAGTCACAGTCCCCCCGGGCCCTTTCCTGGTAGCAAAAAGGTGAAGGAATGCCTCCAAATGCCCCCAATGCCAAGGTGGGGGCAGCAGGACAAAGCGGGGCAGGGGAGTTTTGCGGGGTGGAGGGGAGAGGGAGGCTCTTGCCTGCTGCGGCCTCTGATCCCTGCTTAGCCCAGTGGGAGACCTTGGGAAGCTTGTGTGTGGTGAGCACAATGCGGATGAGTCAGGGGTGGGGTAGGCGGGTCCAATGGGGAGTGCTGCTCTTACCCAACCTGTGGGCACTGCCCTTGCCTACACATGTTTTCTGCAGAGTTCAACAGACCCACCTCGGGCTCTGATATGCGCTTGGCGCCAGGACGGTTGCTTCTGGCTCCCAAGGGCTCTGTCCCATGAGGACTGGTAGGGTGTGGGTGGGAGGGAAACGCCTCCCAGTTCCCATCATCTTTCCTGCTGGGAGCCCTGTGAGAGTCCCACAGAGCGGGATGGGGGTAGGCATGGAGGGCCCAGGGTAGGGGCTGGAGGACAGCAGGGCTGGCCTGGGAGTTGCAGGGGGGCGGGTGTCTCCTGGCTGCTAGTCCTCCATCCCAGTGCTATGGAGCCAACTGGCTTGTACTAGGAGCTCCTGCTGGAATGTGTGTGTATTAGATGCATTACGGTAGGGCCCGAGCTCAGGGCCTAGTTCTGCCCCACGCTGCACAAATGCCTTCCCCCTTCTGCCCCCGCTCGCTGGATCTGCCCCCACCCCTCCCACCAGGAGGGATCCCTCCCTTCCACTCCCATCCACGCCAAACTGCGCAGGGAGAGGCAGGAAAGTGAGGCCTGCCAGCTATCCCCCTGCTCCAGCAGGTCTCGGGGAGCCTCCCCATCCCCACCCAGACCCCCCCGTAGTACCTGGTGTTGTACAAACACGGCCTCTTTGTTCCATCCCCGGCACCCGCTGCCCCTGGCACCATACCCACCTGGGTGGGTCCCGGCCCCGCTGCCAAGCCCAGCTGCACAGGGGATGGGCAAGTCCAAGCCAGCTGTTCCAGGCTCTGTTCCAAAGCCCAAGATCGGGACCTCCTGCCCCACGGCCTTGGGCCCTGCCGGCAGCTGAGCAGTGCCCCCCCCCCGCCCCGCTGGCCCCAGGGCTGGACTGGGAGGCACAAGGCCAGAGGCCGTCCCCCAGCCCCCGCTGCTGCAAGCGATCAACAGAGACAGGAAATTGGAAACTGCTGCTCCAGCTGCCAGGAGTCTTTTAATGGGCCTGTCCGGCCCCCCCAGCCGGCCCCAGCTGGAGCCCCCTGGGCAGGGGCAGCTGCCCCTCCTCTACAGACCCCTGGCAGGAGGGGGACAGCAGCCGGAGCAGGGAATGCCAGTGCCCCCCACCCTTCCCCGCTATTCTCCCATACGTGGCCAGGGGGGCAATGCCAGCCCCCCCATATCACATTACCTTCACCTCCCCCACCGGAACTGTGGCTCAAGGGCACCTTTGCAGGGTGTGCCAGGCTCCCTCCGTGCCCAGCACCCCCCAGGGTGTGGCATGGGAGTGGGGCAGGGAAGGGAGGTGCCAGGTTTTGGCAGGCAGACTCCCAGGTGTCACCCCTCCCCTTCCCTGAGGGGATCCTACCTGCCAGGGGGTGAGGAGCGAGGGGCAACAGTGGCACAGCCCTGCCCTCAACCAGAGCCACAGGGGTCGGGGGGGAATCCAGGGGTGCCCGTCCGACCTGCTCCATGCCTCAGTTTCCGCTGCTGGAAGTGAGCCCTCCCCGCTTCCCCCAATCCTGTTTGCTGAAGGTTGGGACTGACACAAAAATGCCAAGCAACCTCTTGGCTCAAATGCCCTCATTTGCTAATTAGTTGGTGCGGTTGTTTGGCTCCCACCCTCCCTCCCCACGACTCTCCCTTGGCCCCCATAAGAGGTCTGCATGTGGCCTGGCACTGGATCATGCCGCTCTCATCCAGTGCTGCACCCCGATGCAACCAGCTCTGGGGAGGAGAAGCTCTCCCACCCACTGCAACGAGCCTGAAGGAGGTGGACCAAGGGCAGCAGGGCAGTGACAGGGCCTGCAGGGCGGGCGGGTCTCCCCTCCATGCCTTCTCACCCAGCCCTGCGCTGCTTAGGCAGGAAGGAGAAGCCTGGAGTTTGCAATTCAAATAAATCGGTGCCCAGCCCTGGATGGGGGGGAGGGGTAGCAGCCAGAGGGTGTGGCTGGCAAGGTGGGGGGGGGAGGGGCGCAGCCAGGCCCCAGGGCCCCCTCCACCAAGCAGGTGCAGAGCAGGCAGGGCTAGGGGCTCATAGGCGATGGCGCATTTGGGGGGGGGGGGGGGGGCGCCCC